ACGATGGGATGTTATTCTCTCTCCTGCGGAGCAGCCGCTCTACTTGAGCACAAATTTAAATTATCCGGCCTTTCCACCGACTTGAGGCGCGTGTTGATTTTTTTGTTCTAAAAGAGACTCAAGGTTGTTTACTCAACGCATCCGTGGCTCCTAACGCGCGCGTTTCCCGGGAGCAGAAGTCACAGCGTGCTGCGTTTCGCGGTGCGAACATCAATCAGTCTCCCTTCTCACTCCAAAGGGCTTCCTGAGGAATGACCGTTCGGCTGTGTTATTGCCACGGCAGTGACTGCAAACCATCCATCCAAGCTTGCGAAAAGCCACTGCGTCCTCGTGAGATGCGCCGTGAAATTCTCGGCTCAACCGCGGCACTAAATTCAGCCTCGTTGTGGTGGCTTGCAGCGCCGCGCAACGATCACTCGTCGGTTAAACGCCGAGCGAAACCACGAGCAGCAGCAATCCGCCTCCGCCTTCCTCTCCACAAACACAGCGATGGTCGATTGTTAGAGGCCGGCTTGGGATAGGCGAGTTTTATGGGTCATCAACCAAAGATATGATCATCGATGCTCTGCTCCCATCTCATCGGTCATCAGTGATTGCGCACGCAGACCCGACTGGCGGGCCCACATTCTCGAGTTAATCTCCCCGTGCAGCTCTTCAGCATTTCCAGTCATTTGGATAATGGGCAAAAGTGTGTGCGAGGGAGGGAGAGCAAATATCTACATTTCACGAGGCCGTATGGAAGGGACTTGTTGAATCAGCACCGTCTAATATTTTATTCCCTGTCAGATGAAGGAGGATTTATAGCCGATGATGGGAGGTCTTTTGAGCAAAGGAAAGCCATTACTCCATATAGCGGTCAATTGTAAAGCTCTCCGTGGATAAATAAAACTCAATGAGGAACTTAAAAAAAGCCAGAATAAATCTTCAAGAGCATTCAGCTTGGTGGTGTTGCGCTGTGACGACCCCACCGTTTCTCGAATAACAACTCAACACCACGCAGTGGTCGCATCGTACTCTTGTGACCACATTAAACACGCACGCGAGCTTCCACTGATGAGGAGCAATGATTCGGTGGCGTTAATACCGTCACGGCCAAACGAGCCGAGGGCATTGTCTGCCTCGTGGCTTGATACGGGCGTGAGCCATCCGCTCGCTCGCTCGCTCCGACCTTGCCCCGACCTTGCGTGGCAGAGAAGCTCCATCAGTAGGCGCGCATCACAGACTTGGGGATCGACATCGGCAGCGAGCTGGGTCAGTGGTGCGCCAGAAAAAAAAACTTGGCCTCGTCCCGCATTAACATCTCCCAATGATGGGAGAATATTCCCGCAGTTAATCTCTCTGCCCTTACTGTTAACCTTCTACGTAACCGTTTGCCGAGAGCCCCGTCTTGAAGACGTAGTGCTCCTGCTAATAACATCCGACAAGCCCGCCGTAGTTTATGTTTTGTATTTAACAAGCCTGGCTGCTGACGAGACGCTAAAAGGTTTAAATCAGTCCAGAGTTTGCTTTGTTTTAGCAAACACTGCGAGTTGATGCGTCTGGAAAGCCCCCAGGCTGATGTACTCTCGTCTATGTGGTGAGATGAACATAGTGTTTCGTTGTTATTGAATTTATCATTACGCTCATCAACACATAGAGAGTTTGTAAACACGAACAGGACGAATGCACCATTGGAACCTCCTTTGCCAGTAGCAAAATATAATTGTTTTTTTACCCTTTTATCTGGCAACAAAACTGACACCTTTTTTTACAAGGAGTCATGTTTGCATTGACCACAATACCTGCGGTCGGAATGCAAACAAAAAACACAACTCTCATAATGTATGCAAGGACAGTGCATACATTAGCAGAGTTGTGTGTTTTGTTTGCATTCCGACCGCAGGTATTGTGATCAATGCAAACATGACTCCTTGTTAAAAAAAGGTGTCAGTTTTTTTGCAGATAAAAGGGTAAAAAACAATGATCAGGACGATTTACTGTATAGTTCTTTGTCAAACTAGCGGTGGATGCCCCCCCCCCATGCCGTCATGGCAGTTGTTTAGCCATACTTCACCACGCCCGTTCAGATATCACTCGTCACTGATGGTAGCCAAGAAACACACTCTGATCACCAGGTTCACTGTGCAGTGTGCTAACCGCTGCACCACCACTCCACCCCTTCGATACGTGATTACATAATCACCTCCTACGGCGGTAAGTGCAATGACTGGGTGGGTAGTGACGCGAGCACGCTCGTCAGAGGTGGCTGCAGGGGGGGGGGGAGGCCTTCATCCACCAGAGGATTGATTGTGGCCGATGATAATGATGATTCAGTTTAACACTTAGTAGGCTTTCGCGACCAATATCATCCATACGAGGTTTTTTGGGCTAGGTCGCGTAAATATATAAATATGTCGTTAAACCCGCCACCACCCGACACAGCCAACTAGTAATGGTTGTCACGTAAACAGAACGTGCTAATTCGTCACTAGTACAGTACTCATATTGTAAATGTTTGTGGCTTGGCTCTCCAACACACCGGTTAGTGCTGTACTAGTGACGAATTGGCCACGTTCTGTTTACGTGACAACCCTTTCTAGTTGGCTGTGGCGGGTTTAACGACACATTTATATATTTACGCGATCTAACCCCAAAAAACCCTCTATTATGGATGATGATTCAGATGTCATGTATACAGAGTAACAGTAATGATCGACAACAAGCGTCTATGCTTCACTACGACTGGCTGGGTGGACTGGCTCGGCCATAATAGGACAATGTTCTTCCTCGATCTGTCTCCCAGTGATGGGTAGCGTGGATTTGTCTCGGGGTTCTTTCTCCCGTTCTGCCCCCTCCACATTTAGAAAGATGTGTTTAGATGATTCGGACACGACTATAAATTTCCACACGTGACGATATAAGCCACTTTGTGGGGGCCGTTGGCCCCCGGGGTCCCTCCCGCCTTCATCCCCTATTCTGTTTACGTTACCCCACCTCCCTATTACCCGCTACGGTTTCGCCGGCATTCGAACGCGACGCCCCTACTGTTACAGCCTCGCGCCGCGCTCCCACGCTGCGAGCATACGTGCGCACAGCATCATCAATCAAACGCCATACTCCCCCTCTTTGCACCGCGACGTACAGCTCTCGCACGCTGCGAGCGTGTGCCCGTCTATAGCCCTGTGCGGCACTCGCCCCCACGTCGAATAACCACGTTACCAATGCGCATCCGTATCCGACACGTAACGAACATATGCGCACTCACGCACACAGCTCCCCGCGGCACTCACTCACCACTGAATACTCGCGTTATGATCGCGCACCTGTATCACACACGGGGTGAACACACGCGACACCCACTCTCGCACCGCTCTGCGCAGCGCTCCCCCGAGGCGAGCCGCAGCACTACAGAACCACGGTGTACACACGCTCACCCGCGCGCTCAGCTCCGCGCAGCGCTCACTCACGTGGCGAACCACTGTGCACACAGCGCACCCACACGATCACACTGCTCGACAAGATCACGCGAGACCACGCTTCGCTATTGATGATTTATTATATGCTACCTGCGAATTGATGTTGAATCAGTGAGTCGACGAGGCTGGCCTATTCCACCCAAACCTGTACCTATTCCCTATTTATCGGCTATTATCCTACTTCACCTCCCCACTCACTGTTTGGTGCCCGCGGAGGTTCGCTGCTCTATGCGCTAACAGCGTACCTTGATGCGTCCCACGGACGTTCGGGTCGCTGGCTGGAGCTGCTGCTGGTCCGCTGGCCTGGAGAGAAGAGCCCTATTTCCCCTCTGCGCCCCTCTATTTATCCTCCCTACCTCAAAGGGGATGCTGCGCTAAACAATGGGCTCGCGATCCTCTGGCACGCGCTAGGCGGTTCCGGGCGCTGTTGATATGCTAATCAGTGTGCTGCGTGCAAGGCGTAAATCCTAATTAATCCCTTACCCTCCCTAACAATGGGGCCTGCGCGCTCAAGCGCAATTATCCCAAGCCTCCATGACTATGCGCAACAGCCCCTGTGGTCCCGCTATTCATGCTGTCCCGTGCCTCCCCTGCTTGCCCCGTCGACTCGTGGGGGTGTGTGTGGGGGGAAATGCGCCTCAACCGCGGTGGCCGAATGCCCCACGCCGCGACCACACCATATTAAGGCCGGCCGCAGCGCCGCGGTGCCACGTAGCACGGGGGAGGTCATCCAATTCCCTGATCGCCGGAAACCGTGAGAATTAATCCCGATAAGGGTCTCTCGGATAAAAACCGGTCGGCCAGGCGACCTCCCCTCGGAGCTCTATGGGTGGGGGGGGGAAATGAGTGCGGGTTTGTTCATGTGAGGTGAGGGGGACGCGGGGTCGGCTCCGTTGCTTGGTGGTGGCGAGGTCGGGGATTTGGTGCCTGCCGAACGGCTTCGCGGCGGCGGCATCACAACTTCGATGAGCTCCCATGTGTGGCCAAGTGAACTGGCAAAACACATTCCTGCGGAGGGAGCTGGTAGGAACGTTGGGTTGCTCGGTCAATGGCCAGGGTCAACGGCGGCGTGGTGTATTCCGCAAATATGCCCGACTGTGAGGGCGGGCACAAGCCGGCGTGAGTAGGTTAAACGTTGAGTTTTATAAGGGCACCACGGGGTGACCAGCCGCTCCCCACCCAGCCCCACCCCTCCCACCCCCACCCAGCCCCTCCCAGACCCACCCCACCCAGCCCCACCCTCCCCACCCAGCCCTTCCCCACCCAGCCCCTCCCCACCCCACCCAGCCCCTCCCTCCCCACCCAGCCCCTCCCTGCACGACGGACGGACACAATAATCCCCTGTGGGCTGGTGTAACCAGGAGGTTCCTACCAGTATAAAAGAGTTCAGTGTTTTTATTTTAGATTGCCTCTCAGGGCAGTTACTGTTGGTACCATGAGGAGCTCTGATGGTTGCAATTCAGAACATCGTTCGCCGTGCCTCTTAGGAGGCACAAGTGGGACCCGGTGACGATGAACAAAGAAGCATGAGTAGACCCAAAGAAATGTTGTTATTTTCATTTTATTGTGTTTATTTTTGAGCTTGTACTACACGGATAATGATGTATCCAGAATGTAATCCCAGTGGGAAATACTTTACTTCAAGACAAACACAGCCAAGTAGGGTTTTTTTTTTCTTTCCGAAAACATCACTGTAGTCTAATAAATATAGTAGTAAAAATGGCATTTCAAACGGGTTAAAAACAGTTAGGCATGTGTGCAGTCAAGTAATTGTAAAAATGTGGTAAACAATCGCATCACCGTACAGACGCCACCGGCTTAATAAGTCGCAAATGTTAACTTCACGAATAGAAAAACGCAACGTATAAATGTGTTGTTTAATCATCACAAAACATTTTTTTTCTCCTTTTTAAATAGCAAAATACGATATTCTATGACTATAAATACAAAATGTCTATTTTTATCGACTGTCTACCCATGGTACATATTTACAGCTTGCCAGTGACAAAATGCTAGTCTGTTAAACATACTTAAAGCAATCATCTCATATAGACTCTTGTTTTTTTGTTATATAAAATACTGAAATTAAAATGACAGTTTTGGAACACGTTGCTATTTTCGTATTTTAAAATATTTAATTCCGCGAATGCAGTTTCCAATGCCTGTCACCCACGACCACGTGACTCTTCCGTTTGGGGGAGTATTTCTAGGGGGGCATTTTAGAATCGACGTAGAAAAAGCGCCTTTGACCTTTCGCATCAAATCCACCTTCAACGCTCTCAAAATACTGGGCTCGGTTCGCATTCACGACTCGACATTCTGTCGAGCCCACAACTTCTCCGCTCCCACAGTCGTGTTTCGCGAGTCGGATACTCGGCAGAAGACGGCGGCATCGACGTCCACAGGCGCAGCAGAAAAAGCGACACTTTGCCTCGGCCCATTGACCTGCCCGCGTCTCTCCTGTTAACCCGCGGCCGACTAAAAGCTTTGCTTCAGCTCAATCTATTCCGTCGCAGTGGACTCGTCACGGAGCGCAGGGTACGGCCCTCCCCGATGGCTTTCGGGGGTTGTATGGATGTTGAACTTTTTTCACACCGTACGTAGCCGACCGTGCCAATCGGAGTTGCATCTCTTTAGGTCCGCGACACGCGACATAACTCGAAGACACGGCAGACCGGTGTGCGGACAATTGTTTAGCTTTTACACTTTTAATTAAGATCAACTCGTTCACGGCCACTTATTTATTTGCCTACGTAACATTGGCACTCTCGAGGTGCAGTGCCTCGGCCCTGCCAAGCGGCGGCGGATGTTTTGGGTGCGAATTTTCACAATTGGCTTTCTATTTAACAAAACAAATGAACGTAAGGTACATGCGCTCTCATGAATTTCCTTCGAGTCCCCAGCGGATGGCGTCAATTCGGCGGGACTGCTAAAGTCGTTTTTGTGTTTTTTTCGGGCACGAAATGCAACTGAACTCCCTTCACGCCGCCTCATCGGGGACAATCCGTGCGGGTTGCCGTGCGCCGTTTTTGGAATGGAGCCGGGGAGATGGAAAATAAAAGCCACGAGGCTCAGGAGGAGAAATGCGGCGGGGTTCATTTTCCGATGAGGACATTCGTGGCGCGCGCGTGCAGCTCGATTGCTCAAGCTGCAAATTCTAATCGGATTAAATTGTGCACTTAAATGGGGAAAAATTAATTCAACAGAGCCGTCGCATTATCACGTGTGTGTATATATGCACACAGTGGCTAGCGATGTGACTTTTCCCCGTGGCGCTCCAAGTTTTTAATGTCATCGCATTGCAGTTCTGCGAAAGCTGTGAAAGAGCTCTGAGCTGTCCACAGCAACGCTGCCGTCCAACAAAGCTGACCGGTGCCCCGAGGCAAACGGACCCGTGCCAAATAATTCCCGACGTTTGCGAACACGCGAATTGTTTCCAATCCAACGGAGAAGGCCCTGCCGCAATTCAGGGAACGACTTCTCTCTCTTGCCGCGCGCGTTCACCCGTTGACCACCGGTTCGATTGCAAATTTGCGATGCCGATGGCTTCAATTCACACCCCTTAGCCAACAGACCCGATGGGGAGCGCCGGTTGTGCAAGCCGGTGGAATGCCCCCGTCGTGGAGACGAATGACAACGCACGCACCCACTCACTCACTGACACACTCGCTCACTCGCTGACGCACCCACTCACTTACTGACACACACACTCACTCACTGACGCACTCACTCACTCATGCACTCACTCACTGACGCACTCAATCACGCACTCACTTACTCAGGCACTCACTCACTGACGCACTCACTCACTCAGGCACTCACTCACTGACGCACTCACCCACTCACACACTCACTCACTGACGCACTCAATCACGCACTCACTCACTGACGCACTCACTTACTCAGGCACTCGCTCACCCACTTACTCAGGCACTCACTCACTGACTCGCTCACTCAGGCACGGCTGTTTGTCGTAGCTCCATAACGCCGCCGCTGTCTGCTGGCCGAGCTGCCCTCAAAAGAAGAGCTCATGGCTCAACGGCTCTGTCTCTCTCTCCGTGTCTCTCCGTTCTCTCTCTGTCTCTCTGTGAGCCACGCGCTTTCTCAAAGACGTGGGCGATCATGGCCTTCCCGTTGCCTCTGTCCGTGATGTTACTCGAGAATCTCTTTGGGTTCGATACTACTCCCAGTTGCTTCCACGCTTGCTCCAGTTTGCTCGCGTTACTCAGTTCGCCGTCTTCAACGGGCCTGAGCGGGAAATAAACTCGCGATTCTCATTCTTCTGATTCTGAATAAAGCGACTTGCACACAACCGTGTCGAGAGTTGCGAGTAAATAAGTGACGTTGAACTGAAGCAAAGCTGTACCTCTCCCACTTGTCTGTGAATGTGGAATCATTGTCCCCCAAGGTTGTACTGTAGCCCTAACGTATAAGTTCCATACAACGCATACCCTATCTGAAGGGATATCGTTGCACGGACGTTATAACGTTTCGGCATTCTGTTCATTCCAACCATTTCCATTAGGAGGTTCCAAAACGTGTTCTTTCCTCCATTCCAAGCCAGTATACTATATAAAATATTTAGCTTTTTCACATTCAAACGGCATGCATTGGTTACTTTACCGTGAGATTCACTTACCATCGTTAATCTTTAGTAGAACACTGCAGCAAGCAAAGGTTTACTCACAATATAAAAGGTGGCTGACTACGAGAGAATTTATATCGTTAGTAAAAACAAAAGCGTTAAAAGTTCACATTAAGGATGACTCGAACGATTGAACAAATATCTTGCGGTGTGCGTGTTGTCCACCATACCTCAACTTTACCGATGTTGGACTTTTAATGGGTGCACTGGCCTTTGCTCCCACCACCTCGATATGCAAACTTGTACGCAGCAGCAGCATCATCATCATCATCACTCCGCTCCGTATGGCAGATTGAAAACTAATTCCACCCGAACTGTTTTTTTGTGTCCAGTTTCTCGTCCTTCTCCCGCACCTCCGATCAGCAGGGTCGGCTACGTACGGTGCGAAAGAAGTTCAAGGTACGTACATGGCTTGAAAACGACCGACCTGTGCGCGTGTTTTGGCAAAGCTCGTGAAAGTGGGCCCTCAAGACGCTCGCCGGTGTCCACGTTTCATGTTATGACCGGTGGCGGGGGGGGGGGTTGCTACTCGACCACGTGCAGTCTTGACGTGCCGCGATTACCCCCCCACAAGAGACGGCTCAGCAATACGAAGGTGCAGCGGACACAGCGAAGACGCCGCATCGTGCCCTGCAGTCTGGGCTGTGACCGCAGTCGAACCGCCTTTATGTCCACTTTTGTTAACTTTGCAAATTATAATTGCGTTTGTTTTTTTCACACGGGGGCTTTCATCCATACAATAGGTTTTTTGGGGGGGTTAGATCGCGTGAATATAAATGTGTCGTTAAACCCGCCCCCACCAATTAGTAAGATTTGTCACGTAAACAGAACATGCCAATTCGTTACGAGTACAGCAAACCTTTATATTTACGCGATCTAACCCCAAAAAAAACCTATATTATGGATATATTTTTTTCGTTTGTATCTGGGCGCATCGGTTGATGTTTAATGAATCTCAAAAAAACAAAGAGACGACCGGCTCCTGGATGTCGGCCAATCCCATTTCGGCTTTTTTCGCAAAAGGCTGCCAAATGTGTCGTTAAGGAAGCGACGAGAGAAGCGTAGAGTAAACCTTCGTCGGGGCACGATTCTTTGCGGGTGCCTTCTCGCGCCAATTAAAACGACGCTCCATTGGAAAAAAAGAAAAAACGCCCCAGAAAATGGTGACCTCGTTAGGAGGCTCGGCACAAACGAGCAGGCCGCGGCGCTGTGACTCAACGAATCTTCTCACCAGGAAACCCCTCGGCCATGACCAATTATTTATCAAGCACAGTACCGGCCGTCGGCAAATTAAGCCAGAATCGGACCGTCGCTTCATTCCGCTGATCGTAATCCAGAGTTGGGCGGGGGGGGGGGCACTGTTATAGCTGACAAAGCCCTTGCTGGAATTTGTGTAAAGCAAAATGTAATCACGGCCAAATTAAAGTGCGACGGACAATCGCTAAAATAATTTGCGTCATTTGCAGCAGGAATCGATTGAAGCGATCTACTCTGTAACAACGTTCTCCTGCGTATGCTCCACGCGCTGTGAATAACCGACGCCTCTGGGTTTAACGTTAAAACCGACAACAGGGAGTAATCCTCTGGCTTGATATAAACAAAATGCCGATTACATTATATCAAGGAATACATCGTTAAATGTCTGTTAACATTTACTGGCTGAAGCCAACCTTTTAACAGGTGTTTGTCTCTGTTGTCCTCAGTCTGGAGCTTCCTTACCCAGCCGTCAGTGCTGTGGGCTCCCTGCCCTTGGTGACATCCAGGCTCAAAGACCTTTTCTATGTCTTCCTCCGAGTTAATCTCTTTCAATAAAAACATGAACAAAATTAGCCCTCTGTTTCCCAGGATGCCCACATCCCACTCCTCTCTGTGAAATTTTCCGAAAAGCGTTCTGCTTCAAGATGCGATCGGAACCCAAATGGTATGTGCACGATGGCATCACACAGTGGCCACCAGGGATGGCAGTGCGATGGACCGCATCGATGCCACGCCGGCGAGTTCCAAGGGCAACGAGGGCTCGTACCGCGCGAGACATTTTAAAAGAATGTCGATAGCATCTCGTTAAGAACTCTGCGGGTCGTTAGTCGAGCCATCGCAAGCACCGTACGTAATTGTTACTTGTTATTTGTGTCGCTCGTTACGATCGCTTGGCTGCAATGATCTAATCAGCGTGGAGAATGAGAACGCGGTGTCCTGCGGATGTCTCTCTCTCGCTCTCTCATCGCTGACCTGAATTACGGAACGGCCGCAAGATAATACGACAGATGCCACTCGGCGCGTGTGGCAGACAGGGAGTTGAAATGGTGCAACGGTGAGGCGTGTCAGGATGATGGCACGTGGGAGAGCACGGAGGGGAGAGCACGACGAACGAGGTGCTGCGAACATTCTGTTCAACATTCTGTTGGCAGCACAGCGCTGTCTACTGCTGGGCGAGAAGCCGACTGATGTGACCCCAGAAGGAGTTTGCTGATTTCATATGGACTCCAGTTTACAAGGCCTTAAGACAAAGTCAACCCGGCCAAAAATGTATATATATTTTTTAAACGTAAAATATTGCCGTAATAATATCGTTTAATATTAAAGACTGTCGAGTAAACGTGACGCTGCTGCGCTTGAAAATGAAAGGACCAAAGCGGAGTGCGCCTGGTCGAACGAGCCTCGGGGCCATCCTTCTCTGTTGGCATCTCTCTGCGGGGGGGCAACCGTTTTGACGTTTCACCACCCTGGTGCCCATCTCATCCCTGCAGAGCACCGACGACGATGACGACGATGATGACGATGACGACGACGATGACGACTATGACAACAATGACGACGACGATGATGACGACGATGACGACGATGACAACAATGACGATGACAACGCGCTGTATATCGGCTGGCGTGCAGGTGGCGGGCGGACGGTTGCAATCTCCGCGACCATGAAGGATGGCCGTGGATTTGGGGGAGGCCTTCATCCAGCAGTGGATAAATCACGGCCGATGATTGAGATGGCCATGATGAGCTCCCGCTCGCTCCGTGTGATTGGGGCGCGCGGTCATGGTCGAGGGGTTTACCGCGGCCAACTCTGCCGACACGACCGCGCCGCCCATCGCTTCTTCTCTTCTGCCAGACCACGCAACTGTTGCGGTCGACACCCAGCTACGCGAACGTGTCAACCTCGGCAGCCTGCCCACCTCCACGCTGCGCAAGTGCCACACCCAATGCATCCAACTACCCTCACCGGGTCACGTCTGTACCCGGCACACCGCATCTAGTATACTCTCGCTACGGCCGCGACGACTGCTCACGTGCTTATCCTAGTCTTCCGGCTACTTCAAACGTAGAGAGAGATTAACGAGTCGCGGCCGCATCCACGCACCGGAGTGGTGCGGGCGCGCCGTGCTCCAAACCGTCACGGCTGAGCGCACGCGCGCCGGTGCGGAAGGATACGGGGGGGGTTGGGGGGGGGGTTGGGGGGGGTTGGGGGGGTGGCGCCCGCGGGGGGCGTCGTCGTCACACGAGCGACTCGAGGCTCTCCTCCGGCGTGACGTCCTCCAGCAGGGCCGACGCGCCGTTGCGGCCCTCCGGCTTCACGCCGTTGCCGCTGTTCTCGCGAGCGCTCACCAGGCTCAGCAGCGCCTTGTACAGGTACTGGTACTGCTCCTGCGGGGGCAAGACGCAAGCGCAGTCAGTGTATGTAGTACAAACGATACACAGCTACGTGGGTGTATTTTGTTGAAGCAGCTGAGACCTCGAGAGAGGAGAGGAGTGCAAGCTCACGGTGAAGTTTCCCCCCCCCCCCCACCAATTTATTCAAAGTCGGGATGCCGCCGCGGTTATAGCGCTTGGCCCGCCGGGCCGAGCGATCGCACGTCTCTCCCCGCGACGTCTGACGTCGTTTCAAACGAATTGTCGCCGACGTGACGGCACAAAACGAGATCCGCGACCGCGCTGGGAGCCACCAGAGGTGGTCGAGCAGCGGGGCGGTGCGGCCACGTTGGCAGGCGTGGGCGAGAGGTCTGGCAGCTGCGATTTGGATCACACGTGTCCCGTGTGCCGTGTCCCGTGTGCCGTGTCCCGTGTTCCGTTTGCCGCCACTGGCGTGCACGTACGACATCGGAGAAGACGCCGGGCCGCATGAGGTTGATCATGCGCGCCGCTTGGAACACGTCCACGGAGTTCTCCTCCTCCAGCTGCCGCGAGAGCGTGGCGAGGGCGCAGAACGTGCCGGCCACTGAGCTGCCCAACCTGCGGGGCGCACGCACACACAGGAGCACGCACGGGAGCACACACGGGAGCACACACGGGCAGATAGGGGCACACACGGGCACACATGGGCACACATGGGTAGACACAGACAAATCCGCATATAGCCTTGAACAAAATATGTGGCCAGTGCTCTACACACACACACATAAGTACAAATACAGTTACATACATACTCATTGAACACTGTGTAAGCTTTAGTGACCAATATTTAGGTTAATTGTTGGGTCAGGTCACGCAGATAAGATGCTTAGTCGTACACCTCTCTCCACCCGACACGGCCAATGAATAAAGTTTTGCCGCTAACAAACGCCACCAATTTATTTCCGCTTGAGCAGCGCTGGGGAGCGACCCGCGACGTTCAACAACTTGGTTGCGACGTTGCTCTTGTAGTCACAACCAGCATCATGAGGTGGTTGCCGGAACACGCTCGCGCAGATATATCCGCACGCACGCTCAGAGGACAGCCCTCGCCTCGTGTGCAGGAGCTGGATGGATCCTCGCACTGCGAGACCACGAGAAATGGCGACTGCTTGAAGGGGGCCTTCATCCGGCAGTGGATAGATCGTGCCTCCTCATGATGAATACATGTCAGTGTTTGTGTTTGTGTGTGCGCACATATGTACAGCTCTGTCCCTTACTGTTAAATGGGAGGCTTGCAAATCCCTTTAAATAAATGATCAAACATGAATACACAGAAGGCTGAACTTAACATGTAGAGACTTTGGCACACTGAAGAATGTTGGATGCTGCTAAAGACATTTCGCATGACATTGCAATTGGCTGGGTCCGCATTGTCTGCCTTGAGGTGACTTCCAGATATTGAGCCACTCGCCCTACCCAGCGACTAGGCCGACCAATTCCTGGCGCTCGCCGCAGTACATTATTGATCGGAACGACGCCGTGCCAGTGTGCACCACGGCCAGATGGCGGAACCCATCACGCCGTCAACTCGCGTGCGTGCGTGGTGTGCATGCGTGGTGTGCGTGGCGTGCGTGCGTGTGTGGTGTGCGTGGCGTGCGTGGCGCGTCGTTCCGCTCTCTCCACTCACAGGTCGTGCACGACGGTGGGGCCGTCGCGCGTCAGCGCCTCCTTCGCCACGATGTTGACGAGCTCGAAGACGCTGCTGATGGGGCCGTCCGGGTTGGGCCACCGCGGGCACTGGAAGTGCTTCACCTCGAGCACGTAGTCGTCCTGGCGACACACGGCGAGAGGGGGGGCGGAGTGGCGGGGGGGGCGTCACGCGGGTCAGCGACGTCACGCTCGTCGTCGCGCTGCGGCCGCTGGCGTGGGTCCACCGTTCCCGTGAACATCGCTCGTCCAACCCTCCACCTGCCTGGTGGTGGACTCGAGCTCACAGGCGAAACTTCGATCGACTTCTAGTGTTTGGTGTTTGTGGTCTCTACCCCCCGCACCGCCGATTTGCGCAGTTGGTTACGTACGGTGCAAAATAAGTTCAGCATACGTACGTACATACAAACTAAATGAACTATTTTTAATTTTACCAGGGAAGGCCCACTGAGCTATTCAGACGCGACGTGGCTATCGCGAATGATAGCTCATCGAAGCGGCTTATCATCGATTGTAAATGTATAGGAGCCATTTACTGCAAACGTGCGATGTGGATTCTAAATGTGGAGGGAAAAACCGGAAGACCCAGAGAAAAATCCAGAGAAAGAGAGACACTCAAACTCGAATATACAGCAGCAGGCGTCAAGGTCGGGATCAAACCCCACGACCTCTTGTATACCAGGCGAGGTAGTCAACATCTCCTAGCCAGCGCGGCTCCCCTCGCCTCGTGTGCAGGAGCTAGACGGATCGTCGCATTGCGAGACCACGGGAATGGTGACTGCATGGGGAGGCTTTCATCCAGCAGTGGATAGATGATGGCTCCTGATGATGAATACATGCAAGTGTGTGTGCACATATGTACTGCCCTGTCCCATATTGTTGAACGAGAGGCCTGCCAAGCCCTTTAAATAAATAATCAAACACGAACACACGGAAGGCTGAACACAACCTGTACAGACCGAGTTTGGCACACTGCATGCATGACTTTTCAATAGGTCACTTAGCAATTGTCCGCAATTTCACTTACGGAATCACTTTGGCCGGGTCCGCAGTGTCCGTCCTGAGGTGACGTCAGATTTTTAGCCACTCACCCCACCACCCAGCGACTCGGCCAACAATTCGTGGCGCTCACCGCGGAACAATGCCGAGCGCTGAACCAGCACGCAGCTGCGCCGGAGAATCTCCGACGGAAACAAACAAGCGTCTCTCTCCCCCACGCTCCCGAACTCTCCCCCGCAGCCCGTTGCCTCTCTCAGACCCGGAGTGATTCATTTGCTCTGGGATATCTTTCCTGGGAGACGTTAATCACATTCAATTAGTACGAAAATATCCTCCCCCACCGCTTGTAACATTTACATGCCGGCCCTGCTCTCGGATGGGTGATTAGGGGTCGTTACGGCCTCCCTTTACGCCGTGGTTCCCTGCCAATTTAAGCGCGCTCTCCCTGGCCCCAGCGAGCAGCAGCAGCCTGAATCCGCTTCATCTCACCACTGCGATTACTGCCAGGGGCAAGTGGAACGAGCATTACCACCTGAGCCTCCGCAAGCGGATGCGTTGCGCTACAAAAGGACACGCTCGCCGCGTCGTGGTGACGCGCGTTCACCGCGGCACGAAACCTGCCGTGAGCCACGCAAATTGCCGAGGATTTCAACGCTGCAAGGGTAAGTTGGGTGTTGTTTGTTGACCTTTTCAGATCGCGTTGAAACAAAAATCAAACTTCGTTGTTGGTTAATCCCGCTAGATGAAGAGCACACACGCACAAAGACAAATATCCCCCGTATAGCCTTAACAGACTGTAGGGGCAAGTGTTGTTAGCGAGCACCTACAAAGGCCGGCACGGCACACGAGGGGGTGGGTGGCCAACACTACGCCTGGCCACCTTTGTCTCCCCAGTGGCGATATTTACACACCGCACCAGGTGCTCATTTGACGCTGAGTCGACCTAGAGGAGGCCCAGGGCCGGTTCAAATAATCGCCACTGGTGTTGGCCGTGAACGGGAATCGAACTCGTGTCGCCGGGTTCGTAGTGCAGCGTAGCGCTAACCCCACTACACCACCGCTCCCCATTACACACACACACACACGAGCAGCGCACGCAGGGAATGGTGGAGAATTGCGGAGGGGATTGCTTCAGCGTTGAAACACCGAGACACCTCATTTGCATTGCCATATCTCCACCGTCGCAGCCACAGGAAGCTCTGCCCCGTGACGTCGCCTCGTTGTATATTTTGACCTTACACAGGGCCACGGCGCCGCTGACGAACGCGTCGAGTTTCCGCGCCGGTTGCCGCGCCCTTCGCTGCCATCAACCAAACAATGATTTGTGTTCGTGCTGTCGCATTGCTTTGCCGGGGAGAGGCGTGCATTCGCAGGATGGGATCCCTCTCTCTTGGCCAAAATCTCCGACGGGCAGCTTTACGGCCTTCAAGGTGAACGAGCGAGCGAAGCACGGAACGTGCGGGAGCACCTGCGTTGCCTCGAGGATGAGTTCCCGGATAACCACTTGCTCCTCGCTGGAGAGACACAGCCGGTCCTCGCTGATGAGCGACACGCCGAAGCCTTCGCAGTGCATCGCTTGGTCGCGCCGGGGCCAGTAGGCAAACTCCTCCCCGTCCTGCGCGCGGTGGAAACGCACGCACACACAAAGACAAAGGTCCCCCGTGTAGCCTTTAACAGACTGTTGGGGCAAGTGCTGTTCGCGAGTAGCACCGGCGAAGGCCGGCACGGCTCACGAGGGGGGTGCGTGGCCAGCACCACGCCCGGCCGCCTTTGTCTCCCCAGCGGCGATGTTTACACGTGGCACCGGGTACTCATTTGAGTCAAATAATCGTCACCGGGTGTTGGCCGCGAGCGGGAATCGAACCCGGGTCGCCGGGTTCGTAGCGCAGCGCCCACCCGGCTACCCTCCAGGTCACGTGTTCGTCAGTGTCACCTTGTCCTGGTGAGGTCCCGGGAGCATGATGATGAGCTGTACGTTGTAGTCCCAGATCATTCTCCAGAAGTCCTTGGTGGTGTTTGGCAGCGGATGCTGAGTCATGATGTACTCCGTGCTGCTGCTATAGCCCTGCAAACCGGAACGTGGCAGCGCAGACGCAGAATCTTTATTTGCCGCCGCGCTGACGGATACGACGTGACAATAAAATATCCACGATCATCGCGCCGTCCCGTTTTGACGAGCGTCCTTACATCGCGATTGTCGTTTTGCTCGTTTTTTGATTTGCATTAAATGTTCTATTTCTTGAACAAGCTATTATGAAATAACTCGATCCTTAAAGTTGTAAAAAAAAATCTGTTATCCATCAGTGCTTTGCTAAATCTATATGTGATTGAGTGATTTAGGGCATGGCAATTATATGACGTCTTAATTTCCATAGTACGTTAAATTAATTGTTTATGGTGTTACTGAGAACACTGAGCATTGTAAATTGTTAAGTTGCAATAAATATAATAGTCATGGCAGGAATATGTTTATCACAACTGCATTTGGATAACCTTTTGTAAAGCGATATTCAATTGTACCGGGAAGTAGAGCAAAGCACACAGTACCAATGTGGAATGCAATTGTGAAGTTACGAAAAACGGATATCACGATAATTGCGAAATTTGATATTGTATCATAAAAATGCTGGCAACCCGAATAAATAAACACAGCCAGAAGGAATGATGACATCGCTTGTGGATTCTTCTCATTCCCTTTCTGCTTTCACCACCGCCATGCCACGCCTCCAGTGTCTCCGCGTTTCTCTTGCTGGGATGTCATTGCCAGTGGCAGCGCTCCCTTCATCGCTGGCTTCCCAAGTGCAAGAGCGGCCAATGGGCCATAAGGCGGATGCATTAACAGGTTTAACCACCGGAAGCATTGAAACATTGTACTATTGGATGCATTAAACCCACTGAGAGCGTTAGCACGTCAACCCACCGGGGGGTATTCACGCGTTAACCCACTGGATGCGTTAACGCGTTAACCCACCGGGGGGCGCAGTGTGCACGCGCCACGTGACCCACGCGGGGCTCCACCGCTTTGATGATGAGAGGTTGGCGACTTATCGATGCCTTCATCCAGCCGTGGACTGAACCTGGCTGACGATGACGTATAATTATAATGGCGATTATTGTGGGTCGGAGAACGGGGGACTGAGCCCGAGTGCAGCCCCAGCTGCCCGCCCGCCCGGTCGCCCGCCCACGGGCAGCGACGCATCGTAGTGTGGCTTCAACGCTCAGCCGGCTGCCCACTTAACAGGACGTCACGCGTTACGTTCGCTCGGCCGCTCGGCTCCGCTCCGAGAAACTCTCGAGAGCGCGAGAGGACGCGCAGCTGTGCGGGGCGGGTGGCCGGGGTGGCGGGACAGGCGCTGACCCACCATGACGTAGGAGGCGTTGATGTAGTCCGAGCCCTCGACGTCCCCCAGGGAGGCGAGCTCCACTCGCGACGACTCCACTGCGGGTAGCGCCGCTCGGTTAGTCACAGAGACAGAGCACAACGACACACACAGTCTACTAACGCCGTGGGGAACACCGCTCAGTTAGACACAGAGACAGCACAACGACACACAGTCTCCCAGTGGGGCGGCAGGCTCGTGGCACGGTAGCTCATGGCGACACAAAGCCTTGGGTTGCCCCTCTGCGTGGAGTTTGTACGTTCTCTCTCTCTCTCTATCTCCCTCGTTCTAGGGGGAATTCCTCTGGCTTCTTCGATTTCCTCCCGAAGCTGAAGGAGCACCGCCATGAAACTGGCCAAAAAACATCCCAATGGTGAATTATTACCTGCAAACAACTCAATTCGGGATGACAGTACACGTAGCGGCGACGTCACCCTACACCCCCCCCCCCACCCCGATGAACACTCGGCAGGACTCTCCCCAGAGCAGTCCTGAGACTCAGCGAGGCTTTCTGGGTAAACAGGCGCAGCAATAATGACAGTATCCAGTGATCTACACGGCACACGGTGTGCGCACACACGTGGTGTTGTGACTGTGCCACCTGTGAGGTGCATGACGAGTCACGGGAAGTAGAATATCTCACAATGTCGGCAGAGGAAAGGACCACAGACAGAATGCGTCGCCTCGAGTGGTGTGAATAATCACTAAGCTGGCACAAACCCGGACTAATTTACCATCCCAGATTTCTGAGGACAGCCGCGACCTCAAAAAAAGGACAATCACTATGAGACCTCCTTTACCAGTGGCAAAATATAGTAATAGATTTTTACCCTTTCAACTGGTACAAAAACTGTTGAAAGGGTAAAAACCTATTACTAAAAGGACAATAGTGGGAAAACCAGGGCAGGTGGCAACCCCTCTTGGCTGCGCGTGTGAATGTGCACCAGTGAACGTACGAGCACGTCCGGAGCGATCGCGGGGAGCGGTCGTGGTGAGGCGGTCAGCACACTGCGCTACGCTCACGGCCCACATCGGTCGTGGCTAAATCCCCGCTCCTGTGCTCCTGGTGATCTGCGTTTGCCTCCTGGCCAAGCGTAACATCGGCGGCACAAGTTGCGTGAACCTGCCGCGTATGTACTGCGCGTGGGGAGTGGTGGCGCAGTGCTTCGTGCGCTGCACGACAAACTCCGTGACGAGAGAGTTCAATTCCCATCAATGGCCCACGTCATTGGTGGATATCTGAACCAGTCTTGGGCCTCCCATAGGTTGACTCGGCCTTAAAGGAGTAGCTGGCGTAGTGTGTGACCACAGCACTAGGGAGACAAAGGCGGTACGGATGTGATACTGGCCACATGCACGACGCCCCTGGGTGCTCCGTGCCAGCCTTAATAGGTGCTCGCTAACAGCACAGTCTGTATAAGGCTAAACTGGGGATCCCTGGTCTGTTGTACGTATGCGTATATATTTGTCCGCAAGTGTGAGTGCGAGCACACACGCGCACATGTGTGTGTGTGCGCGCGCGCGCGTGTGTGTATTGCTGAGTGCATTACCAGGCAAGACGGCCGTGGAGCGGTTTTTGTTTTGGTTGAATGGCTTCTGGGCGATCGTGAAGTCTGAATGCAAGCCGCTCTGCAGGATTAGCTGCAAACGACACAACGGGCACGGCCAAGCGTAGTGACATCCCCAGCTCCGTTCGCACACTCGGACAAACCAAAAACACACGAACCGATTCGGAAGGTGAACGTGATCCTTGCATCAAACGAAACGCTCATCTTCGGCATCCATGAACGATCGCGATCATCTCCCGAAAAGATTCAGTTTCCGTTCTTCGAGAACGAGCGAAAACTGTGTGTGTCACGAGTTGAAGTTATTATGACCATCGTAAAACTAACAAAATTAAAAACAGACGCAATTCATCGTATATTTTTTTCTGTTAGAAGGAGATTTCTTTTTTACAAACTTGCCTAGGTTTTATTTTTACAAGCTGCCGAAAGTACCGCAATTGTTAGTGGAAAAATAACAGACTGGTAAGGACGTCAATAGGCGGTCCGCTCAATACATCACTGTAGCCTGCGCTCCTTCAGTGCAGGAGGAACGGCAACAAAACGACACAAACTGCTCTCTCTCTCGAAGCCCTCCCGTCGTGGCCAGCAGCAAGCCTCCACGTGGGTCCAGGAGCCAACCCCCACACTGGCTCCTGAACACACTGCTGCTGCTGTCATACGCGTTGGGAGCTTCTTAAGGGGCTGAATTCAGAGGAGCGAATTAGTGGACTGAATTCGGTTTGTGACAAAGCCCACAGCGTGCACAATTCTCGGACATTAACAATTCCAAAACTATTCTAAAAGCTAATTTTATTTGAAGACTAAACTTTTTGTTAATTTTACCAGGTCAGGCACACTGAACTATACAGCTCTTTTCCAGAAGTGACCTGGCCAAAAATGAGAGCTCAACGAATTGGCTCATCATCACGTGGAAATGTACAGCAGTGAAATACTCTCAACGCACGATGTTGATTTTTTTATGTGGAGGGAAAACCGGAGGACCCGGAGAAAAATCCAAGCGACCACGAGGAGAGAGAGAGAGATATATATGAAAACTTAAAATATACAGCAGGCATCAGGGTCGGGATCGAACCCACGTCCTCCTGTATATCAGGAAAGGGAGTTAACATCTCCTAGCCACCGCGGCGCCCAAGCAACCCGCGGCAGAACGCAAACACAACGACGAGAGTTGTCGCGGGCGGCAGACCTTGAAGTGCTTCTCGACGCGGGTGAGTCCCGAGGGCCCCGGCGTGAGGATTCCGTTGACGTAGGCGTGCAGGCTCGAGGAGGCCACCTCCGTCTCGCGGCCCTGGATGGCCTCCAGCAGGGCCTCGTGTATGAACACGTACTGCTCCTGCACGGCCACACACAACAAACAACAACAACAATAAACATCACGTTTGCACGGCTGGCTACATACGTATGTCTGATGAACTTGGCTACAAGTCCATCAGACATACGTACAACCTGCATTTACATTGCGGTGATGAAGCAACGACAACAGTCCAGTTTTGTTTACTATTGGGGACACAGCACGAGGAAAACACACAGCACGAGCTGTGAGTGGGAATTCGTAATTCGGGAGCCAGGGAGGGAGCCAGGGAGGGAGCGAGCGAGGGAGCCAGGGAGGGAGCCAGGGAGGGAGCGAGAGAGCGAGTGATCGGCACAGCGAGCTGCTGGCACGAGGGCACCGTCGACGCCGCCCGGCGTGGCCGCCCGCGTGCCCACCTCGGTCTGCACCAGGTAGTTGCGCTGGTTGCGGATGTGCTTCAGGAAGGCCATGACGCTCACGGAGCCCTTGTCGCGGATCTGCTGCAGCATCGAGTCGAGCACGATGTAGGTCCCCGTGCGCCCCACGCCCGCACTGCAACCGCGAGACCCGCACGGCGGCAGAGATGAGTCGCGTGGCAATGGTGGCGGTAGTGGCAAAAGTGGCAATGGTGGTGGCAATAGTGGCGATGGTGGTGGCAATAGTGGCGATGGCGGTGGTGACAATAGTGGTGATGGCGGTGGCAGTGGTAGCAGTGGCAATGGTGGCAGTGGTGGCGATGGAAATTAATTTCAACTCACACAGTGATCGCTCCTCACTCTCAGAGAGAGAGAGATAGGGGAGGGGAAACTCAGAGGCAAAAAGGAACCACAGATGACCGGGCAAGGCATCACGCGATGAGCCGGAGCCAACGACTGACCAAGCTCCGCGTCGCTCTACATATGCAGGTGTCATCGGTCAATTAGTGAGTGCGTACGTGTTGGAGGCAACCGGAGTGACTGGAGAAAACCCGCGTGTGTGAGGGGGACACACTCTATCCCAGAGAGATGGAACAGGCGGAATACACATTGTTGGTGTGCCGCACTCCCCTGGCGAGCCAGGGCTACGGCTCCTCCTGGACGGCCGCGGGAGGGGAGTTTCGCACCATCTGTGTGCGATCCACCAACCCTTGCTGCTGCCTCCACAGCGCTAGATTACAGGCCACAGGGCGCTGGTTCCCGCACGCACGCACGCACGCACGCACACACGCACGCTCTCACTGCCGGGGGGGGGGGGGCACCTGCAGTGCACGAGCACGGGGCCCGAGTCGGGCAGCCGGGCGGCCGACGACTTCTTGACGAAGGTGAGCAGCGGCAGGGCGTACTCGGGCGTGCCCATGTCGGGCCACTGCGTGTAGTGGTACTGCAGCAGCACGCGCTCGCCACCGCCACGCTGACCGCTCTGCTCACGCACGCACAAAGACAAAGGTCCCCCGTGTAGCCTTAGCAGACTGGTGGCAAGTGCTGTTGGCGAGCAGCAGCTATGAAGGCCGGCACGGCACACGAGGGGGCTGGGTGGTCAGCAACCACGCCCGGCCGCCTTTGTCTCCCCAGTGGCGACGGTTACACACCGCACCAGGTACTCATTTGAGGCTGAGTCGACCTAGGTGAGGCCCAGGACCGGTTCAGATAATCGTCACTCTGGTGTTGGCCGTGAGCGGGAATCGAACCCGGGTGGCCAGGTTCGGAGCGCAGCGTAGTGCTAACCGCTACACCACCGCTCCTCACCACGCGCGCACACACACACACAAGCACACGCACACACAAGCACACACGCACATGCACACGCACACACAAGCACACGCACGCACACGCACGCACAAGCACACGCACGCACAAGCACACACGCACAAAGAAGACACGTGCACCGAGCTGGCCGCCGCCGCCGCCGCCGCGTTACCCGCCGCTGCTTGGTGTTGCGCAGCGCGAAGCGCCGCACGGTGTAGAAGGCGAGCGTCTTGGAGCTCTTGAGCGAGACGAGCACGCCGCCGTACTCCTCGCTGCTGCCGTCCGACGGCCAGTACTGGTCGCACTTCCGCTACAACGAGAGGGCGGCACGGTGACGACGGGCAGAGTTTGCTTCCCGCGGCGGCGGTGGTGGTGGTGAACCCCCAGCGGGTAAGGCACTTTCACCACCGCCGCCGCTTCTACCGCTGCCGCCCGACCTCCTGGCCGACTGACGGCGGCGTGCGTTCCGATCGAGTTCGGGTGTTCAGTGTAGTCCCCGGGGCATTCTCGTTTAAACAGACGCACCCGTGGCTTTCATTTGTTTTACTGAAGCGCAGGAAGACCCCCGCGGAGTCTCTTTGACTTAATCGCAGAAGGGCCCCCCTGCTTGGGGTCGCTTGGCCGATCTACGTTCTGACCCCGTGCCCCTGCTGGACATCGCTGAACAAGAGCTTTGCAGCTCGTCGGATTCCTCCGCACGATGCGCTATGGAACCGGTGACCCGACATCAGATTCCGGGCCACGGCCAACATCACATGTCTGAAGCTTTCCTCGGCAACCCCCCTCCCCTTTAACAACTTGGCACTGACTGGCATGGGCTGCAGTACGGTGAAAGAAACCGCACGACTGAAAATCGTGGGGACGTCTCCTCACCCATCAGCGGATGTAAGCGATCTACAACGCCCACTTCGTGGGGGAGGCAAAACTCGGACCGCCCAAAGAAATGCCCAGAGCGCCGGAGCAGGGCAACCATCAAATTCCCTGCAGATATATCAGCAACCCAGTAGCCGTACTACTGCCGCCCTACAGGAGACCTTGCTGGCTTCTGCACGATCACTGCGATCGTCCACGTGATTCGAGCATGACCCAGCCAGCTCCTACCTCCCGATGGCGAGGTTGCAGGCGTGGGCCGTCGTGCCGAATGGAGAGCTCAGAAGCGAACCCCGACGCTTCCTTCACTTGCGAGTTGAGCAATTCGGGTAAATTGCCTGATGAAGCTGGTTGTAATCGCCGGGGAAACGTCGTATTCGACTGTAAATGCTGTGGGCTTACTCGCCATCACACCGACGTGCTGAAGTAGTAGCCAATTGGCACGTTTTGTGATCATGTGACAAACCTTGCTAATTGGCCGTGTCGGGTGGCGGTGGGTTAACGACACATTTGTATTTACACGATCCGACCCAAAATAAACCATTATCACGCTGCTGCTCGCGCTAAAGAATACACGGAACGGACGACACTGAACCCCTGACCGGAACTCACGGCAAGCCACGGCTAAGATCGAACAGCGGTGGGATCCCACAAGTCGGCAGAACGACATTGCTACACCATTACAATGTTTCATACAAAACTTAATATTAGTATTTGAGACTAGTATTAATACATTTTTTTGCTTTAAAGTTGAACATCAAAACTCTTGCTTAAAAACTAATGTTTAAAAATGTTTACACGCGCACACACACACAAGGGACAAACACACGCAAAATCATATGCCTGTATGGTTTATGCGTGCGTTTGACATTTCTTAGTTGCTTGCAAAAGAAACACAAAGAGGGTTTGGTTTTAGTGCACGCTATCGGGCGAAATATTTCACGAGGGTTTAATTTTTTTTAAAACAACATTGCTATTAGGCTCACGGCCAAAGCATAGCCGTTCCATTCTCGCCTTTTGCAAATTGAACAAGCGTATTAGCCTTGACAAAAATAACCATCGGGAGAAAATCGTAATGTACTCACAACATGTCACGGGATATTCTCACTTCTTTAAATGACAGCACACGGCATGCGTAGACGCATCGTTGAAATACATATCTTTTAAAGATAAATAAATTGTCAGCGATCAAATTCAATCACGATGCTTGATGAATGTGAATTATTACATTTTTACCCCATTTTTAGTTTTTTGTCATAGTTTGCACGTTGCCTGTATTTTTTTTGCCAGCAATTAAGAATGTTAAAAATATATATTTCTTCAAGCAGTCTTTCAAAATCATGGCAATTACAACGCTAACGTAAAACAGTTTTTATGTTACCCGAGGCAATATGTTAGAGCATTAGTCGATGGGCCCAGGCCAAATATTTGACAAGTTGGTACCATCTGAGGTGGCAGCACTTGAGCTGCACAAACTGCTATTGACAACAATTACAAGTGAATGATGCAATAACATTTCTTTATAAGTACGCTATCACGTAATAATACACTTCTATGAGCCAATTAAAAAAAACGGGTACACCTAAACATGTGCCACCTCGAGTGGCACTTAATTCTGCTCTGGCAAATGGAACTATCTTGCACATACCACGCAGCATTTCCTCTTAGCATCGTACTGCGGACCCCATTGTTTTTCTTTGATATGAAACTTCGCAGTTTGTCGTCGAAACAGATATGAAAAGCAATTGCGTGTACGTTAACAGTAACAACGTTCCGTTGTATATTAGCGGCGTTGTTCATCGCAAATTTCATCTCACAACCGCCGAGGAGCCACTCCCGAGCTGGGAGGCAGCTGTCAGGTGGTCAGGCGCCACCAATCATCATCGCCCGAGCTCCGAGTTGAATCAATAACAGACAGACTATTTTGACAGTAACAATGGTCATGCATGACCATCTTTGTTGATCACGCTACATGTCAAAAAACTTCTGCTCAAATGAGGAACGGGGCTCTGCTCATCTCTGTCGGCAGCCCTGTGCCAGTAATGGAAATTCCACATTGCCATGGTAGAGGTCAGTATGCCAATACGACGTGGCATATGAGTTTAGAATATAATATACCGTTTAAAATAAGAAGGAAGAACGAAATTCCAATTACCTACATTTTGAAAGACTGTGTAAGAATATAACATTGTAAGGTTTGGAGCTGTTTCGTTAAGAGTTATTTTTTTAAAAAGCCGCATTGATACCGAACACACTCATAGCGCGGCGATGAACACGAATACTCATGACCACAGACCGGGCCACGGCAGCCTTTCAACTCACACAGGAGACGTTGTCGTCAGCCTGATCGTTCTCAGACAACTCTGCCAACTGGAATCCGAAATGCGCTGGCCCTTTGGGTCGTATTGGAGATGGGAGCTGTACAAAGCGGTACGAGTTCCTTACTTCCATCGATCAATGACGCCCGATAAGTGTGGAGAATTCAGCCAAATACCCTCGGGGGGGGGGGGGGGGGGGGGGGCTCTCTAGAGCTCCCCCGAGTGGAGATCCGTCCGCCAGCAGTGTTGTGACTAAGTCGTCTCAGAGCCTGTTCACTCTGCTCCCCTGTCCATCCACACTGGGGGTCGGGGTCTATGTGCACCCAGTGAGGGCGAGGCACCTGAGACGCCACGGTGACGAAAGATCTCCTTACCTTGCTCAACATGTCTCACCTAGGGTTTATTTTATTTTTGGTGTAAAGCGCTCCGAGTCAAGATTATTCCTGTTAATTGCGCTATATAAATGATAATCAAAAATGGCAATGGACCGAAAATGTCACCAATTATATATTTTTTTCGCTGTCAGGCCACAAAGTGTTAATTGTGCTTTGGCACCACTGCCAACGCAGCAGCAGCACCAGATAATTTGTTTAGATAACTAAAGGTTGATTGGAATTTAACGAAAGATTGGCACCAATAGCACGGCATGAATGTGGTGTACCTTAGGGTCATATATCCAGGCAAATAAGTGTTAGGGACAACGGCATGAAATCACGCGAGCTATTTAAATAATCAAAACAGACCACTTTGCAGTTTTGACATCGCATCTGAAATGTGGTGCCCTACGTACAAATGACGTCACGTGTGGCAACGCCGATCTCACACCGACTGGAGCGAAGGTCGCTCTGCCCAAGGCAGATCGTCATGAGTATTGACACACGTTTCAAACATTGAATTCAAAGAGCACTCAACAGCGCATGGTTTCAGTTGTGTTCGGCATCAACGGCGTCCGCATGAATCGTACAGTTCGTGTTGTCAAAAATTAGTACCAGTAAAGCGACAGTTGTGAAGGTGGTGATGTTAGAGAGGACTCTACACACACCAGAGAGACGCACACTCGCCCACTCCATAGGAACACCTCCCTAAAGGGATACTGGAATGCATTACACGCGGGAGGTTTATGTTGAAATTGCTGCTTCAAGAACAATCCGTTGATATGATTTTGTGGCCAGGTCAACCTTTGTGGGAATTACTGGCAAAGGTTGATACGGGCGCAACATTGCCAATGCGGCTTTAAAATCCGGAAAACACGAGCTACGTATGAAACATAATAACTAACGGTGTATTATTCATTTGGGTAAAAGATACACGTAGTTATTAATCGATGAGCAATTATTCTAAGGACCGCGAGTGTGCAAGTGCATTCGTGAAGCAGTGTCCCTTTAATGCTGTCCGTTCGTTTCAAAGCAAACGCCGAACGGCAGAACCGTTCACCGGACAAAGCGATGCACCAGCGAGTTGGCGGTGACCGCATCGAGCAAAACACCCCCCTGGGTAAGGATGGAACGCTCCACGCTGTGCCAGTGCACTCGCGATTCAAAATAATTTCCCAAAGGGATTTGCAGCCGGTGGAGCGTACCATAGACTTGAAATGCAGGGAGGTTTTTTTGAACGATTCATATTACCGTCCCACTTGCACCTTCTTCACCACACACGCTTCTCCGCCCGAGAAGAACCGAATTATTGCTCCCCAAGAGTGAGAGAAGACAGAGAACCCCACTCGCAGACGATGCGCTTTGTTATTACATGACTGTTAAGGAAACGAAGGGGTAAGTTTCGTGTTTATTGTAGCAATTAGGAAGGATATTAATTCGTAAAAAAAAACACCATGAATTATGCAGTTAGGGAGCTTGAGCCGCAACGTTGTCATATTTACCAGACTGTCCTGCAAATCGACGTAGGAACCCTTCATGTGGTAAACATTGTGTTCGTTTCCAGTTACCTAAAAGCCAAGCCGAATGTGAATTGATGAGCACGTCACAGAACACACGCAAACAAACAAACACCGCCACGCAAGGCACCGGGCACCTTGCTCTGAAACACTCTCTGGGCACGAGGCCCCCCGAGACTAAAAACAAAGCCGAGTGAGTTCCTGCTCAAAAGAGCACCGAGTCCGTGCGCATCTCCCACGTACAACCCTCCTGAGCCAGCGGTGGAAATTCCACATTTCTATGGCAGGGACGGGGGGGCGGGGTGAGTCTATCCATAGGATGAACGCTGTTGACTTCCCCGCAGAGCGGTACTCACTTTATCAACCCCCAGAGGGATGATGGGCCGAGTCAAACCCCCTCGAGCTGGATTTGAAGCCACAAACGTAGAATTGCGAGCGGCTTGCTCTACTGCTGAGCCACCTGGTGTACTGAAATGCATTGTGGGAAAATTACGGCCTTACGTGCATTGTAAAGTACGGTGTAGTTTTACACCCCGGTGGGCGTGGACTGCGTGGTGGAACAAAAACTAAAATTAGAATTGTAAAGTTAAATTGGCTGCTAAAAAACGGCTGCTGGAAATTGCTATGCGATAAGCCACTTCGTTGAGCTATAATTTGTGATAGCCAGGTTGCATCTGAAACAGAGCTACGTAGTGGCTCGGTGGGGCCCTACTTGGTAAAAAGTGAATAAAAAAATAGTTTCGTTTAAGTCAGAAATGGCCGCGTGGCTCAAAGTTCAAAGCTGGCACGGCTGAGACTCAGGCGTGCAACGAGACGCTCGCCTCTCATCAGACCGGGATCCCGGCTGCAGTGAGTTGGTGCTTTCAGGCCAGTCACAAGTCACCAATGACTGCGTGGAAATATAACCCACCACATTACATGTCGGTTCTCCACTTGATTTTGGCTAAATTCCACACCGGGTGTCACCGTCCTTCGACGAACATCACTAACTGTGTGGACTGGACAAGAGGTCACACGAAGAAGGGATCTAAGTGGTAGCTCTGTGCTGTCCGCTTCTGTGGGCTGTTCTCTAACATGAGCAAGGGTCGCACTGCTGCGCGAGGGACATGCGAATTATTTGCGTGCCACGACACCACAAGTGCAATCCGGATAAAATTGAGTAATTACACAAAAGAGTCTGCCAATTTTTTTCCGAGAATGCAAAATTATATACGAGTTACAAATATTGCAGCATGTTTGCCATGAACTAAAATGTCCCTACGGACCATAAAGTAAGCTGTCGTTTCAATTAATGAGCATGGCGATAGTATGAAGTGCAATTTTCAACTTCATTTATACGAAGCAGGGGTGTCTTGCAACATGTAATATCTTTACATACAATGTGTTTAGACACACAGCTGTTAATGCTATCCTGCAAGCTGATTCATAACGGTGCCAATTTCATGACACACTTTACAACATCGGCCCTATAACATCCTTAATGAACATCAACGACTGCAATTGCTGCTTGCTATTAAAACACTTTTTTTGTCATTATCATTACACATTCAAAAGTAAAATGTTTGGAAAGTATTACAGTCATTATTGCCACGTACGTGAGCACAGTGTTTGGAAGGACAATTTTAGCCGCATGATAAAAAAAAACCCATCAATAAACCCGTTAAGAAATTGGATAGGGCAGAATTAATCCATCGCTTCATTTGATCGGCGCTCCGCTAACGACTGCTCTCGCGTCGCTGGCACGTTCACGACGGCCGCGTAGAAAAATCGCACCGCGCACGCCGGGAGGCTCGCAACCCGGGCGGCAATTCTAGCAACGCGCGGCCACGGAGTCGCGTGCCGTCCCGCGTCAGTCCACTTACCCGTCCTTTCTCCACGAGGTTGGTGATCATCACCACCACGCGCACGTTCTGCTCCCACACCATTCTCCAGAAGTCCTCGAACGTGCCCTTGAGGGGCCCCTGGGTGGCTATGTAGGCTCGAGGTTTGTTGTAGCCCTGCCAACGTGTCAGTGGGAGAAGATTGGGGGCGGAATCTTGGGAAATGAAATGAAATGCACTCGCGCGCGCATACGAGACAAAGGCAAAGATTCCCCCCCCCCCCCCCCGTGTAGCCTTCACAGACTTTTGGGGCAAGTGCTGTTTGTGAGCACCTATGAAGGCCGGCGCATCACACGAGGGGGTGAGTGGCGACTACCATTCCTGGCCGCCTTTGTCTCCCCAGTGCTGATGTTTACTCGTTACATTATGTATTCAGTTAAGGCTGCGTTGACCGAAGGGAAGCTCTGGTCAAGTTCAGACATTGTGGGTTTACCCCAAGCATCCATCCTTCATTAAAACGGGTTCTCAAGGGTATTGTGTTGACGGTCTGAGCCCAATCGTCACTGGTAACATGAAAAACCCATCATAACAAATGCGGGTTTCCTCTTCATTTGGCAAAATCTCAGCTCGATGAATGAAAAAATATCACTTCGCCATGCGGCAACCACTTTTCCGTAGCGGGGCATACGGATAAAAAGGTCACTTGAAGGGATCTCAGAAGTAATTCTATGATATCCGCTTCTGTGCGCCGTTCTCTCACACGGGGCGACGCACTGTTCCACGGGATATCTTAGCGGACGCCTCAACGCGGGAACACAGACGGAACAACATTGGAGCAAAAGAGACAAACACAAACGTAGAGCCATGAAATAAAAACAGGCAAAACAACAATCACAATCGGATCAGAATATAAATTTATCCTGGAGGAATCCGATGAGCTATAAAGCTATTTTGTCACAGATGTCCAGTCGGGGCGGGTATTAATTAGAAAAAAAACACGATAGGAATGCAAAGTAGAGGATAAGTAAACAAATCACGAAAAAACAACATATTTTTAAAGTCGCACGACTGCAGGACAAACCGCTCTGAGAATGTCAAATCCTAGAGAGAGCGAAACGATTGACTGCAAGCATCCATACTCTTTGGTTTTAGCGGTAAAGTCACGTAGGTGAAAACAAATTAAAATAAAACAACTAAATTGAATCGCGATGTTTCGGAAGCAACACAAGCATCCGTTATCAGGTGTGGCTGCTCCAGAGCTATTTAGAGACACGTGTTTATATAGGGTACTAGGGGGGGGAGGAGCCAAGGGGTCGGGGGGAGGGGCATGCGGCAGGCCGTGTGGCATCGCGGGCGGTTGGGCAGGAGATTAGCTGAGTTAAGCCTTCTCCAGTAGAACGGTGACTTATAGATTGAGAACGAATTTCTTGCTAACTGCTTTGTGTCTAATCTTTGGTTATTTCGGTAAAGTCACGTATAAAGATAAAATAATAAATTAAATAATAGCATACGGCGTTTCGATTGCAACACAAGCAATCATCATCAGGTATAAATGAAATAGCAACAAAAAATCTAACCAGAAAATCGTCTCAGAGACGATCTCCCTCTCTGTGCTTGTGTTACTCTCTCTCTATGTATCTTGGTGATATCTGTCTGCTTATATGTCTGTCTATAGTTTTCTGGTTAGATTTTTTGTTGCTATTTCATTTATACCTGATGATGATTGCTTGTGTTGCAATCGAAACGTCGTATGCTATTATTTTATTTATTATTTTATCTTTATACGTTACTTTACCGAAAGAACCAAATATTAATTCCTGCAGTCACGAAAGCTCTAAAATTAAGATTGCTTTGTGTCTGTCTAATTTGTCGTCCTTCCTCAAGCACCTGTGATTAGCGCGGTTGGCTACGTACGGTGCGGAAGAAGTTCAACATGCGTACGTGCATAGGTGCAACTTACTTCGATGTAGTTGGCGTTGATGTAATCGCTATGCTTGGAGTCTTTCCCAGAAAGCACTCTCAGCTTCACCCTCGAGTGGTCGTCTGTGGAGAGACGAGGTTGTGGACCAGACAGACACAGCCGATGCCACTTCCCTACAACTGTATAGACATTGGGTAAGATTGTTTATAATAATATCCATCATGTAAAAAAACACGTAAATATAAAAATGACAATTTTTATATTCTTTAACCAAGGCGAGAGAGACAGGGATGGTCCCATTGACAAGCGTAGGCCCTGTACGAGTGCTCTGCTGTTTATCCCAACAAGAGTGAACAATGCATGCGCTAGCTTGCAACGGCACGTGCCCAACTCGTGCGTCCGTGTGTACACGTCTTCGCGCGTAACATTTCCAGCCTCTCCCTCCTTCTGCGACATTGATCCGAGGCGCCCTTAATAGACCGGCTTGCCAGTTTGTTTCTCTGCCGTGGACCAAAACTGAAATTCCACGCTGGCACCTTTTAATAACCGAGCCCGGTTCCCCGAGCCCGATGCTGCCACCTATTAATTGGCGAGAACGCGACATCCGCATCGGCCCTGCCACCTTCTCGCGGAGGTGAGAAAAGCCAAAGCGCTTGGCGCGATGGCGTCAGCGACGCGGGGCGGGCGGGCTCCGACACTCACACGCCACAATGTTGATGTAGCGGTTCTTGCTCTTGTTCTCCGGGTGGTTGGTCTGATCGGCCGTCACGCCGTTCCCCATTGTGCTCCTCTGTATTTCCTGCAGAGAGGGGGCGGCACGCGGCGCCATTGAGGAGAGGAGTGCCCGGCCGGCGCGGCTCTCCACCGACGCGTTCCCGGTTCGCGCCGCGCGCCGCTCGGCATCCCGGCGACCGACGCTTCGCTTAAACCCCGTCGCGGAAGCAGAAGCTCCCCGCTGGTCAGACATCGCTCGCCACTGCCGCCGTTAGCCCTGGCCCGGATATAAAACGCAGGTGGGGCCAGGTCTTTTGTTTGTTAGCCACGGCGCCGCCGCTCCGCCCCGTTACTCGCGTTAACTCATCGCGGTGCTTCGTGCCGCCTCTGCCAACGAGCCACGGGCGGCAGCCGCAGAGGTCGTTTCCGGGCCCGCCTGCGGAGGCCTCGTTGCGTCCATTAACTCTCCGGGTTCGTTGACCCGTCGCGAACCGCTCGCTCGACGAAGAGGCGGACAAGGCACCGCGGCCTGGCGACGCTGGCGCCTGGCGTGGGCCGTGTGCGGCCGTACCTCGAACTCCTGCGCGAAGCCGCGCTGGCCATCGGCGTAGAGGCGGGCGACGTGTCGGGGAAACTGCTTCACGGGAATGCCCTCCATCTCCTCTGCGGAGGGACGGAGAAGAGGCAGAGAGAGATGCACACACAGGGAGAGGGTGACCGGAGGATTAAACCTTCACTCCACACCTGATTTCAGAATCAGAATGTTTATTAATACTGGAGGAAATCGATGAGCTATGATGCTCTTTTTCACAGATGTCCAATCTGGGGCGGGTCAGAACATGACAACAACAAACAAAACAAAAACACAATAGGAATGCAAAGTTCGGAAAGGTAAACAAATCACGAAAAAAACCAAATTTTTCAGTTGGGGCAGAGTGCAGCACCACACTGCAGACCACGGCACTTCTCTTGCCTCGCTCTGCTCCACTTGGGAATTCTCTCCCATCTTCTTTATTCCCAAGCCCTTAATAAGACTTAGCTCAATACAAAAGACTTGTTACACTCGTATCCATGACATCTGTGATGAGTGCTCTTCGTTGCTGATCGCTTGACGCTTTGGGGCTTTGGGCTCCTGCGTCACTCCCCGATCGTGACAATTCGGCCTTCCCAGTGATTCGACGACTCGTTACAATTTGGGGTCATGATTCAAGAATTAATTCTTATGTCCCGTTCCCCCCGCCTCCATCTCGTTCCGTCTCGTCTGTACGGCTTTGCTCACTCCACAAGAGCTTGAATGTAACATTGGCATCTTATATTCTGATTGGTTACATATAAAGTAAATAACAGAATCTTACACTCACAATCCGATGCAGTTATTTCTAGATTTGAAGCTTTCGTGACTGCAAGGATTCATATTCTTAGGTTTTTTCGGTAAAGTCACATAGGTAAAACATTAAAATTAATGAATGAAATTAAAATGAAAGTAAAATATTTATTTTATTTTACTTTCATTAATTTTAATGTTTTACCTACGTGACTTTACCGAAAAAACCTAAGAATACGATGCAGTTATATTGCCGTAAGCGTCGACTTTAAATCGAGGAATCAATGCATGTCCAGTCCGCACGCTTGACTGACTGCCGTCATCCGTCATCTGCACCACGAGCAGCTGCCTCATGCGGATAGGGAGATAATCGCATCTGCGTCATGCTCCTGTTAATTGGATAGTCTGCAACGCTTGCATCGTGCAATAGCACGTTCGAATTAAACGGGAAAGTAATTGTTTAGCGCTGCAGTGGCAGACTCGCAAACTGTGCGACTCGTTCTTCGGGGACGACGGCTCCGCGGCGCGAGACGGTGTCGAGCGGACCAACTGGCGAGTTTCTCGGCGCAAACGAGCGGCGTGAAGACGAAACGTCGTCGGGTGTCGCCAAAGCGGCGTTTAAAATAAACTCCGGCACGCGACAGAGCGCCGACTGGGCGTTCACTGCCCGAGTGGAGATTTCACGTGGGAGGGACACGCGTGGGAAGCAGGGTTCGCTCGTACCGTGCGTGCACGATAGACCGAGATTGTTCTGTGTCAACGCTGAATGAATTTCGCGTACGGCAATTGCTATTTTTTGCGCTGAACGGTGGACCCCTGTCGTTTAGGTCGGAGCACTCTCGCCAATAACGCGGCAGGGTTTAATTTAACAAGCCTCGAACTCTGCTGATGACATCCAGAAGGTCGCAAGCAATCGAGCGTTCGCTTGACTAAACAAACGTAGCTGGATAAATAGCGCCATGAAAATATATCTTAGTTGTGTGCCTGAGTGGAACAGAGGTCTGATTACAAGTTACGAACCACGCTACAGCTGTGTGTCTGGAATGTAAAAATAGAAAAACTGAGCCCATGCGAAAACACAGAGATGCGATTAAACAGTCGAGAACATCCGAGAAAAAACGGAGGCGCGACCATTCAATCTGCCCACGAATGCGGCGGCAAACCCCGACTCGGTGAAAACCGACCTCCCCGCTCAGATTTGCCGTCCGTCTGCAAAAAGAAAACCGTGCGAACGCTCCCTGCCTCGACGAGACGGATTCCTAAGAACGGCGTGGACCCCCCCCCCACCCCCCATTGTGCACAGTGCATCGTGGCGAGAGCCGCCGCCGCTGGCGTGTTAATGGGACGCGCACGCACGCACGCACGCGCACGCACGCACGCGCACACGCGCACGCACGCGCACGCACGCACGCGCACGTCGAAGAGAGGAAATGCTTTGACACCAGAAGGAATATTCCTGAACGACCACGGGCGACACGGCTTTGTGGAGATGTCGTCAGCGATCGCAGCCGTCAACCCCCCTCCTCCTCAGTGCGGCCCCTCACCACCCCCCCCACCGCTCCTGTTGACCGCGATGAGAGAATAACAAATAGAAGTAATATGGGAGTAGTAATAACCACTGCTAAGAATCAAGCGAAACACTCCCCCTCATTTCACTGCGCTGACGGGAGGGCACTCATTCAGTTCCTGTGATTCGCGAAAAGAATAATGCGAGCCACAATCATTAATATTCACAAGCAAAATCCTTCATAAAAAAAAACACAGTAACTGCTGATATATAAAGAAACCGTGGGATTCACATATTGGACCGAGTGCTGCAGGATGATTAACAGTATTCCAACACGATCCTCTGTGCAGATTGAAATGCACGGCCCATTGCTAAGTGGCACGGAATGTGGTTAAGTCTCCGGCCACGGATAAAATTGAGCAATTATTAAACGTTAACGTCTCCGTAAAACGTGCGCGGGGTGGTCAGGTATGCCTCATTAATCCCAGAATCTGCACTGGAGTCAACCTCCATCAATTTCGCAGCTATTTATTTATTTATTTAAGCTTTAACTCGAAGCGTCTGCGGTGAGCGAAATTCGGCGGCAGTCAGCAAAACCGCACTGCCAAATTTGACACCAAATGGCAACGGGCGTGCAAGGGTCACCTGCACAATCTGCACTTTCTCCCCACCCCGACCCCCCCGGGGCTTCGAGCTCATAGGCCAATTTTTACGCTTCCCAGGAACGGCATTATGCAAATAACGAGAGGTAACAGACATCAGAATCGGCTCCTCACTGCTGCGGATACACAGAACGCCTCGCAAAGCGCGCAAACACAATTGCAAAACGGGACGGGCGCCTCGTCAAATGCAACAATTGAAATGCATCATGGGATGGAGAGTATTTAATTGGCGATACCAGGGGTGCTATGTGAGGTGGGGTGGGGGGGTAGATCTGTGCATTCACGCACAAAGACAAAGATTCCCCGTGTAGCCTTAAAAGACTGTTGGGGCAAGTGCTGTTAGCGAGCAGCACCTATGAAGGCCGGAATGGTACACGAGGGGGTGGGTGGCCAGCACCACGCCCGACTGCCTTTGTCTCCCTAGTGGCGATGCTTACACACCACAGCAGGTACTCATTTAAGGCTGAGTCGACTTAGGGGAGCCTCAGGACCGGTTCTGATCATCGTCACCGGTGTTGGCCGTGAGCGGGAATCGAACTCGGGTCGCCGGGTTCGTAGCGCAGCGTAGCGCTAACTGCTGCACTACCGCTCCCCACATGCACACACACACACACACATATACACACACACATATACACACACACACACACATATACACACACACATATGCACACACACACACATATACACACACATATACACACACACATATACACACACACACATATGCACACAAAGATAAAGATCCCCCGTATAGCCTGAACAGACTGTAGGGGCAAGTGCTGTTAGCGAGCACCTATGAAGGCCGGAACGGTACACGAGGGGGTGGGTGGCCAGCACCACGCCCGACCGCCTTTGTCTCCCTAGTGGCGATGTTTACACACCGCACCAGGTACTCATTTAAGGCTGAGTCGACCTAGGGGAGGCCCAGGACCGGTTCAGATAATCGTCACTGGTGTTAGCCGTGAGCGGGAATCGAACCCGGGTCGCCAGGTTCATAGCGCAGCGCGCTAACCGCTACACTACCGCTCCCCACAACATATGCACACACACACATATACACACACATACACATATACACACACATATACACACACATACACATATACACACACACACACATATACACACACACATATACACACACATATACACACACACATATACACACACACACACATCCCCTTATGTGCCGTCTCGGCCTTCATAGGTGCTCGCAAACAGCACTTGCCCCAACAGCCAGTTCAAGCTACACGGGGGATCTTTTGTCTTTGGCACATGTTGACAGACATCAAGGCACCAAGCTAAGCGATGTAGAAACGAAGGCGGCGGGGGTATGGTGCTGCTTACACCATCCAGTCACGCTCCTTACGAACCTTAATAGGTGCTTGCGAACAGCACCTGTCCGCACCTCTGATTACCCCGGTTGGCTACGTGCGGTGCGGAAGGAGTTGAACGTACGTACGTACAAGAGAGCAATCTGTCTTTGGTCGACGGGAGTTGCGATTACATGCATGGTACAATGTTGGCAGCTCGCTGCATTACAAACATAGCAATGGCTGATGGTGCTAGTTGTAATTACTGGCGAAATGTCGTACTCGAATTGTCAATGTTGTGGGTTTGCTCTCCAACACACCGTCGTGCTGTACTAGTAACGAACTCGGATGCTTTCCTTACGTGGCAAACCTTACTAATCGGCTGTGTCGGGTGATGGCGGGTTTAACGACACATGTATATATCCACGCGATCTAACCCAAAAACCTCTATTATGGATAATATTGGTCGCGAAAGCCTGCTACGTGTTAAACTGAGCAATGGCTGTGTTCGTGAGCGGCACCGGCCCAGTTTCCTTGCGTGCGTGCGAGCGTGGCCTCGTGTTGACACAAATCCGCGTCCGTATTTGCCCGTTCTGATTTCATTTCCCCGCACGCACGGCCCTGGCGTCGTCTTTGTGCGCGTGTTTGCATCTCGGCGCGAGCGAGTGAGCGAGCGAGCGGTGACGCTCTCGCTGCCGACCGTCAGGGTGGCAGATGTCGACTATTGATTGGAATCTGTCATTTAAACACTGGGGGCAACGGCAATGAATAGGGCGATGATTTTTTGCACACGGGGCCCCGGTGAATAATTGACGGCGCTAGCCCAGGTCATCCGAAGCGGCGTGGACAGCGCA